GGAAAGAAGGAAGGAAGGAAGGAAGGAAAGAAGGAAGGAAAAGAGAGAGAGGAAGGAAGGAAGAAAGAGAGAGAGGAAGTAAGGAAGGAAGAAATAAAGAAAGGAAAGAGAGAGAAAGAAGAAAAAAGGAAGGGAAAGAAAGAAAAGAAAAGAGTTGCCCCTCTGTGGCTGTGTGACTCTAGGCAAGGTACTTAACTTCTCTGAGCCTCGGGGTCCTCACCTATAAACTGAAACAGTAACAGTATCTGAACAGTATCTGAACAGTAACCCCAAAGAACTATTGTTCTGGTGGGCAAGGAAACAGCAAGGGTCACTGAGAGAGAGACCCTACAACATTTTCGGGGATCTCTTAGCTGCTGGGTTTGGCTGGAAGGAGGAGGAAAGCAGTAAGGTAAATGACAAGACTGGAAGGGTCCGCAGGGGCCAGGGCATACAGGACCGTGGATGGGGGACTTAACTCTGAAGACACTGGGGAGCCATGAAGTAAAAGGATCCCTTCATTAGGTGGGCGGCATCGTCGGGGAGCTGACACTGGAGGCCAGGAGCCCAGAAGCCCGGGGGTGGAGAATCTGGGGAGGGACAGAGCAGCTATTAGGAGGGAAGAGGCACTCAGGAGGCCCAGCAGACAGGCTGTGGGACTGACGAGGCATGGAGGAGGGGTCTCAGACCAGGCTTAGGGCTCTAATCAGGGGACTGGGAGACAGTGGGGCCATCTCTGAGATGGCAACTGGGGAGAGAAGCAAGTCTGAGGTTGGGGCTGAAGCCAGGGAGGGACCCAGGGGGTGCAAGAGGCTGGGGAGACACCCAAGGGAAGGCATGGAGCTGCTGGGGCCCTGGGCCAGGAGCTCAGGAGAGAGGACTGGGGTGCAGGGGTGGGCGTGAAGGGTGGGCTCGAGGGAGACACCAGTGTCCCTTGGTTGGACTGGGTGAGGCGGAGTGGCTAGGCCAGGCAGGGCAGGTCAAGGCTCCTGCTTGGCTCAGACTGGGTCCAGAGAGGGTGGTCCCTGAGGAGAAGCGTCCACCTCCTTCCCTAGCCTCACAGGATGTCCTGTGTTTACTGCGGTGGCCACAGCCGGAACCAGGACACCGGTGCCACCCCCAACTTAGCTTCCCATGGCCACACCCCCTCGGGTAAGGGAAAGCACGACAGAGGGAGAGAGAGAGGGAGAGAGAAATGCACAGACAGAATGAGACAGAAAGAAACCGGGAAGGACACAGAAAGAGAGAATAAGGACAGAGAGAAAGAGAACAGAGAGATACAAAGATAGAGACACACAGAGAGACACACCATTCGTGATAAAAACTCACAGCAGGTGAGGTGTGGTGACTCACGTCTATAATCCCAGCTGTTTGGGAGGCCGAGGCGGGTGGATTACCTGAGGTCAGGAGTTCAAGACCAGCCTGGCCAACATGGCAAAACCCCATCTCTGCTAAAAATACAAAATTATCGCTTCTTGGCCTTTTGGCTAAGATCAAGTGTGAAATACAAAACTTAGCTGGGTATCGTGGTAGGTGCCTGTAATCCCAGCTACTCGGGAGGCTGAGGCAGGAGAATCTCTTGAACCCAGGGGGTGAAGTTTGCAGTGAGCCAAGATCACGCCACTTCTCTCCAGCCTGGGCGAGAGAGGGAAAACTGAAGTCTCAAAAAAAAAAAAAAAAAAAAGAAAAAAAGAAAAAGAAAAAGAAAACAAAAGAAAAGAACTCACAGCAGACTGGGGCCTGGCACAGTGGCTCACACCTGTAATGTCAGCACTTTGGGAGGCCAAGGCAGGAGGATCGCTTGAGGCCAGGAGTTTGAGGCCAGCCTAGGCAACATAGTGAGACCTGCATCTCTCAAAAACAAGAAAACAAAGAACTCACAGCAAACTAGGGAAAGGAGCTTCCTTAACCTGATAAAGCGTATCTACAAAACACGGACCACTAACGTCCTACTTAATGTCAAAAGGTTAAATGCTCTCTCCTAAGACGGAGAACAAGCAAAGATGTCTGCTCTCTGAGACAAGGGAAGAGAGGGGATGGTATGTACCAGCCTCCCTTTTCTGTTTGGCCCTGAGCAGAGAGAGGGGGATTTTCTTCCCCACCCTAGCCTGGCTGATAGCTCAGCCTCTTTCTGCCCTCACGTACCTAAAAACTCAGTGCTATTAATACTATGTCTCTCCAATAGCTCCTCAGGGCCCTCCTCATGGCCCTGCTGACCCCTGGACCTCCTCTTACCTTTCCCTCACACTCTCACCTTAACCATTTCCCCAAAGGGCCTTTGTACAGGCTGTTCCTGCTACCTGAAACACACTGTCATTCCTTCACCACCCATGGCTTTGGGTTAATTCCTATATATCCTCCAGGTGCAAGCTCAAATGCCACTTCCTTCAGGAAGCCCTCTCTGATTTCTCTTCCTAGGCTGGGGCAGGCACCTTTTCTGGACTTCCCCATCAATGCTTTGACCTCTCTGCCTATGGTTGCCCCATCATAACCCTCCTTTTTCTGGGTTTGTTCCCTGCTGGACTGTGAATGGTATGGACGCCGGCCTGAGCTGTCCCAGTCACACTGTGTCCCCAGCACCATCCAGCCTGGGATTGGACACAAGACCAGGTGCTCACTGAATGTTTGCTGACGGTGAATGAAGGCCTGCTCTGTTTCTCACCTAGTCCTTTGCCCACATTTGTCCCTCTGCCTGGAACCCCCTTCCTTCCTTATTTCCTTAGCTCCCTCCTCCTCAATCTTCCAGTTTGACTTCATTTTATTATTATTTAATATTATTATTATTTTGAGACAGAGGCTCACTCTGTCACCCAGGCTGGAGTGCAATGGCACAATCTCAGCTCACTGCAACCTCTGCCTTCCGGGTTTAAGCAATTCTCCTGCCTCAGCCTCTCGAGTAGCTGGGATTACAGGTGCCCACCACCACGCCCCACTCATTCAGTTTGACTGCAGATATCACCTGCTGCAGGCTCCTTTCCTGAGTCTGCCCCTTCCCCGCTGGGGTGGAGTTAGATCTGTTGATGTCCCCTGTGCCCAGCAAAAGACCTACCACTAAACAGGGCTTGTGAGTGTCTGTTGAATGAATACAAGAACGAAAGAACGTTTGCGTGAATCAATGAAGGAGAGAGAATGCAACGAGGTAAGGGTCTCCTCAGGCCCATCGGGAGCCCCGACCATACCATCCCTTCTACCCCTCCCAGGAGGAGGGCTCTGGCTGGCTTCTGGCCACACCCCAACCTTTGGTTGCTGCCAGGCCTGGAAGGCATTTCCCAGAGCTCAGCACATTCCTGCCTTCCTCGGTGGCTGAGTGGGCAGGGGGCATTTCAGAGAGAAGGAAGGGAGGCCCCCAGCATTCCACGATCCTGCCATCCTGGCCTGGTCCCCCATGCCCTCCGAAGTAGGCCCCAACCCCTTGGTGTGAGATGGGGGACAGGTCTGCAGAAGGGCCACCCAGGCTGGTGTGAGGGACGAGGGTGCCGACGGAGGCCAGGGCCCGGTGTCTGTGCCTGGCTGGACAATGGGGCAGAAGCTGCTGACACGCGCTTTGGGGGTAATCCCCCAGCCTCAGCCCAGCCCAGGCTTGGGGCCTGGGTTCAGAGAGCGACGAGCTTCCGAGGCAGCAGCCGGGTGGGTTCAAGTGGTATGTGGGGGTACCTGTGCTCCCTGTGCCGCCCCCCGGGGTCTGGTGAGTCAGGGCAGGCTGGGGGCTGGGCCAGGGTCCAGGGGATGGGGGTGAGGCCTGGTAGCCTTGGCTTGGGAGTCAGGCAGGTCTGGGTTCAAATCTGAGTCCCTGCCAATGACCTGCTATGGTGATCTTGGGAGAGTCACTTACCTTCTCTGAGCCTTCTTGTCTGCAAAGTGGAAGGGGCAGAAGAGTGTAGCAGGGTTTTTCTGGTCCAGGAGAACAGGGGTTGGACCTCAGCTCCACCACTTCCTGGCCACATAGCTATAAATTGGGCATAGCTGGATGCGGTGGCTCACGCCTATAATCCCAGAACTTTGGGAGGCCGAAGTGTGAAGATCGCTTGAGCCCAGGAGTTCAAGACCAGCCTGGGCAACATGGTGAAACTTCGTCTCTACAAAAAATACAAAAATTAGCTGGGCATGGTGGTGCATGCCTGTAGTCCCAGTTACTTGAGGGGGCTGAGTCGGGAGGATTGCTTGAGCCCAGGAGGTTGAGGCTGCAGTGAGCCATGATCACACCACTGCACTCCAACCTGGGCGACAGGGCAAGACCTTGTCTCCAAAAAAAAAGGGCGCGGAGCATAAGGACCCCATTTTACACCCTTGATTCAAAAGCAGGGCTTGAGCATTGAGCATGGCACTTAGTATATAATAGGTGTCCCCCTAAACAGTAACTCCATTAGACAGAGAACTGGGGGTCCCCTGTACCCAGTTTCACTCAAAAAGGGTCAAAACCCCCCAGCAAGACCAGCCAGCCACTTAATTTGTGTGAAAAATAATACCAAATACTTATTAGTAACCCTCATTCTGTGCCAGGCATTGTTTTACATTTTCAGTCTCTTTTGACTCATTTAATCTTCACCACAACCCCATAAGGTAGGTACTCTTACTATCCACAGAGAGAAGCTGTGACTGGCGGCAGGTCACCCAGCCAGGAAGTGGTCGAGCTGTGATTTGAACCCAGGTTGACAGGGAGAGGGAGTGGAAGGAGTTTACGGTAGAGGCCATTGGCCAGACCGGGGTCCTGGAGCCAGGAAACGGTGGGGCCGGGGTGGGGTCCTGATTCTCCAAGTCGAGGAAGTCAATGTGCAAATCCTTGAGGCTGAGCTCATGGCAGAGGTCTCGGCCCAGGCAAGAGAGAGGCGGCTGGTGGCTGTCTCTTGACCCCCACCGCTTGCGGATAGATGTTGCTGGAGGAGGGGGATGTTTGTTTCTCCACCACCCACCCTCTGGTGACGTCACACCTCCGCAGCCAATGGCTGGGATCTCTCTCTCCTCCCCCTCCCCATTCCTTTTCCCCCCCAGCCTAGGGCTGGGGCTGACAGACGGGACCAGGAGCTCTTGAGGTGTCTGGAGGCTCAGCGGTAAGAGATCAGCCGGCCAGTCCCTTCCCTGGCCAGGCTGAGACACTGTGGGAATGAGGTTCAGGGTCCCGGGAGGTGCTGGGAGGGGGCCTGGGGGCTCAGGAAGCCATGTGTTGTAGGTGTGTGAAAGGTACAGACTTTGGAGCCAGTGGTTCAAATCCGCTCTCCTCTCCTTTCTGGCTGTGCAGCCTTGGGCAAGATACTTCATCCTTTGTGCCTCTGCTTCCCCATCTCTAAAATGGGCTTATGTCCCCAGGCCACCTCACAAGGCTGGCACCAGAATAAATGAGTTGCTGCTTTTAAAGAGCTAGGGCAGCCGGGAATGGTGGCTCATGCCTATAATCTCAACACTTTGGGAGGCCGAGGCGGGAGGACTTCTTAAGCCCAGGAGTTCGAGACCAGCCTGAGCCACATAGAGAGGCCCCATCTCTACAAAAAAAAAAAATTTCTTTTTTTTTTAATTAACTGGGTATGGTGTTGCATGCCTGTGGTCCCAGCTACTCTGGAGGCTGAGATGGGAGAATGAGTTGGGCCCAGGAGGTTGAGGCTGCAGTGAGCCGTGATCACACCTCTGCACTCCAGTCTCAGTGACAGAGTAAGACCCTGTCTCCAAAAAACAAACAAACAAACAAACACCAGAGCTGGGGCAGAATGTCTGGGGTGGTTCCCTGGAGTAGGGTGCTGGGGAGGCAGCATGGATCCTGTTGGTGGGAGGCTGGTGCCTGAGCTGGGTTTTGTCTCTCAGCCAAAGCTCCCCTTTGGTAGCGGAGAAAGTGGGGGCCGCTGAGGAGCAAAGGTTGGATGTGCAACACTGTGAGATGCACAGCCCCCTCCCTCCATACTCTCCCTATTGCTGTCAGAGACGAGTGTATATTAATTGAGCACTTACTATATACGAGGGATATTCTAAGCACCTGCTGTTCTCTCACAAATCTTCAAAGCCATTCTTATTGGCTCCATTTTACAGATGGAGAAACTGAGGCCCCAGAGATGAAGGATCTTGCCCAAGTCCTCACACCTGGGAAGTGCTGGAGCAGGGACTAACTGAGGCAGCCAGAGGTCACCGCCTTAATTCCCGCTGACTCCCTAGGTGGCCTCGGATAATGTTTAGAGGTCTGGATGAGTCAGCTCAACCCCCGACCCCCATTACTATGGGAGATCACGCTGGTGGCTGGGGAAAGCTGAGGCTCTGAGCAGGCAGGGTTCCCAAGTGAAGTTGGTGGCAGTCACCAGGGAAAGAGGGCCAGAAGGGCAATGCCCTCAGCCGATCCCACAGCAGCCTCCAAATGACAACCCCTCGCTCCCAGCTGCTCTGAAGGGCATGAGTCGCATCTGAAATGGATATCTCAGTTGTACCCACTCCAGGGAGATGTTACAAAGATTTAAGGAGCCAAGACAGGAAGGATCTTACTTAGCACATCGTAGGTGCTCAAGAAATGGGGACCCTGGGGATTCTGAAAACTCTGGCATATGCCAGGGTCACGCCACAGTAACCGCCCAAGAAATAGGCTGCTGGCACCTGGAGTGTCTGCCTGGTCCCAGTAGATCTGCTCCTAACACAAGGCAGGGACCGCCCCGCCAGGAGCCTCCCCACCCCTCCTTTCCCTCCCTCGTGGGATAGGCAGAGCTGGGAACACAGAGTCCTCTCTGTGGGTTTCCTTCCGAAGCTGCCCCCACCTTACCCCAGGAGCTGGGTACGTGGCTCAGGAAGGGCACAGTTGGGCTAAATATAACCTGGGCTGGGTGCCTGTCCCAGAGAGGGACGAAGAAGGAGGGTACTCTCTCTTGTCCCTGCCCCGCCTGAACTTCCTGTGCCAGGCTGTGGGCATGACCCTCACAGCCACGGGCCTGGGACAGACAGCTTGTGACCCAGGAGACCCCCTCCACTACCACCACCAAGGTCCAGGCTTCTCATGCCCCCAGCTCAGGACTCTGTGCTGTGTCTCAGTCCTGGGTAAGGGAACTGAGTTCGCTTTCGCACCTGGGCTCAAGAGTCTACTCTGTCACCGTGATCACCGGTCTCTTAACTCTTATTGGCTCATCAGTTAAATGGGGTCCCACGAGGTCAAGTATGTAAAGCACCTGCCCGGCCCAGGCCCAGCACCCGGCCTGGGTGTGCTTCTAGCATCGCTGACCCCCTCCTGCCCAACCCAGCTCCTGCCCCAGTGTGCAGGGCCAACAATGCAAACTAAGGTGAAGCACGGGTGAAGGGCAGGCACGGGTCCTAGTTCTGCCCCTTTCTGGCTGAGTGACCCCTCTGTGAGCCTCAGTTTCCACCCCTGTAACAGCCACAACATCTAGGGTGATTTTGAGGCCTATGGGTGCTGGCACATGGTCCAATTCAGAGGAAATGCCCTAGACATGGCGGACAAGGTCTCGGTGCGGGACCAGCTAATATTAATACTAACCACTCAATACCCATCAGTTGTTATTATGATTGGCCAGCTAAAGCGCTGGAGCTTTTTTTATTTTTATCTTTATTATTTTTTTTGAGATGGAGTCTCGCTATATCGCCAGGCTGGAGTGCAGTGGCACCATCTCAGCTCACCACAACCTCCGCCTCCTGGGCTCAAGCGACTCTCCTGCCTCAGCCTCCCGGGTAGCTGGGATTATAGGCGCCCACCACCACGCCTGGCTAATTTTTGTATTTTTAGTAGAAACGGGGTTTCACCATGTTGGCCAGGCTGGTCTCGAACCCCTGACCTCGTGATCCACCCACCTCAGCCTCCCAAAGTGTTGGGATTACAGGCTTGAGCCACGTGCCCGGCCCGCACTGGAGTTTTTAGACAAGTTCAAGTCCTGGCTCAGCCTGGAAGGGGCAGGGGGCTCACAGGAAGGCCACAGAGACCAGGACCCCAGGAGATGCAGAAAGAAGCCCTCTTACACTGTGGGGGGCGTGGGTGCCGTGGGAGTGTTAAGGGGTCCGCATGTCCTCTGTCCTGCCTAGTGATGGGCTATGAAGGGCCATTGTGTGGCCAGGGTGGGTGGGCAGGGGCGGAATGCAAGTGAACACAGCAGACGGGCCATTGTGTGAGGGAATGTGCCGCGTGAGGCCTGACCTTTCTCTGTGCAATAGGGGTTGGCGGGTTGGCATGCCAGGTGGGGGCTGTGGGGACAAGCCCAGAGTCAGGGGTTGGGGGAGACAGTATTCATCTCCATTTTCCCAGATGGGACTGGCGGATGGCTGTATGTGAATTTCAGCTATGAGGCCTTGAGCAAGTTCTTTTGGCCTCTCAGGAAATGGGGTTTTCTGAGGTGAGATAGAAGGTGAAGGTCTAGCACGGGGACCGGCAAATACTAACCACTCAGTACCCATCAGTTATTATTACCCAGATAAAGGGCTGGAGCCTTCAGACAAGTTCAAGTCCTGGCTTGACCATTTGTGATCTGGGCTACTGATATCCCTTCCCCCAGCCTCACTTGTCTCCTCTGTAATGGGCTCAGTAGTAGCTGATTGCACAAGGCTGTGCTGAGGGCCACGTGCAGTGGTGCCTGTGGGGCGCTCGACACAAGGTCAAGGCCATAGGAAGTTCTTAGTAATAATAATGGCCTGACAGGTGCAGTGGCTCATGCCTGTAATCCCAGCTCTCTGGGAGGCCGAGGCGGGTGGATAACCTGAGGTCAGGAGTTCGAGACCAGCCTAGCCAACATGGTGAAACCCCATCTCTATTAAAAATACAAAAAAGTAGCCAGGCGTGGTGGTGGGCGCCTGTAATCCCAGTTACTCGAGAGGCTGAGGCAGGAGAATCACTTGAACCCAGGAAGCAGCGGTTGCAGTGAGCTGAATTCGCACCACTTCACTCCAGCTTGGGCAATAGAGTGAGACTCTGTCTCAAAATAATAATAATAGTAGTAATAATAATAATAATAGCAGCAAGTATTTATAAAGCACCTGCCAGGTGCCTGGCACTTTATACTTATTAACTCATTTCATCCTCGGAACAGCCCTGCAAGGTAAGAGCTCTTATTCTCCCTATTTTATGGATGAGGTAACTGAAGCACAGAGAGGTGCTATGATTTGCCCACTGGGAGTACATGGGAGTGGCTATAATTATTTTATAGTGTCGGGAGGCTGAGGCAGGAGGATACATGAGCCCAGGAGTTAGAGATCAGTTTGGGCAACCTAGGGAGACCCCATCTCTATAAATTAATTTTAAAAATTAACCTGGTGTTGCCAGGTGCGGTGGCTCATGCCTGTAATTCCAGCACTTTGGAAGGCCAAGATGGGCAGATCACTTGCAGTCAGGAGTTCAAGACCAGCCTGGCCAACATGGTGAAACTCTGATTCTACTAAAAATACAAAAATTAGCCAGGCATGGTGGTGCGTGCCTGTAGTCCCAAGGTGCGTGCCTGTAGCCCCAACTACTCGGGAGGCTGAGTCAGGAGAATGGCTTGAACCCAGGAGTTGGTGGTTGCAGTGAGCCAAGAGCACGCCATTGCACTGCAGCCTGAAACTCTCTCACAAACAGACACACACGTAGCCAGGTGTTGTGGCCTGCACCTGTGGTCCCAGCTACTCAGGAGACCGAGGTGGGAGGATCGCCTGAGCCCAGAGATCGAGGCAGCAGTGTGCTGTGATTGCACCACTGCACTCCAGCCTGGGCAATAGAGCTAGACCCTGTCTCAAAAACCAATTATTTTTTAGTGAGTTTGGCCCCCTCAGTTGGTCAAGATCTTTGGCACAGGGGCCCTGCTGCCAGAGAAGCCTCAGAGTCAGTTTTGGCTTTACTGTGTGTTGTCCAGCTGAGTCATCCTGGGTAAAGGTCTTCTGAGGATCAGTTTCCCACCTGCACGATGGGGATAGGGTATCAGCAGAACACAGCAGGGTAAGGCACTCAGGAAGCCATCAGTGGGTGTTAGCCAATAACACTGCTCTCATTATTCTTCTTAGAGCCCCGGACCCAGGAGGCCCAAGGAGCTGGAGGTGACCCTCAGGTGAGTGCTGGCTGGTGCCACATGCCCCTCCCCACCCCTCCCTCGCGTGCCTAGAGCTTCATGTCCTGGTCTTTCCCTGGCAGGCAGCAAGAACCCCGCGGAAGGGCGTGAGCCCTGCAGACAGCTGTGCGGCACCTCGGGCTGGGCTCCTGTTAGGAGGAAGTGCCTGCGCCCAGGCAGCGGTGAGAGGACAGCTGGGGTGGGGCCCTTCTCCCCTTCCAATACCCACCCTGCTCTCTCCCTGTAAGCATGGCCTCCACCTCTCATCCCCTCCTGGCCTCAAGCCTCCACTGCTGTCCTCCCGCAGGCTCAGAGGCAGCTGCTCCATGCAGAACTGAAGCTGGTTCTGCAGCAGAAAGGGGAGAGGACACAGGAGCCTGGGGTGCAGGTGCCTCCCAGCAACGCCATGGAGGCCAGGAGCCGGAGTGCAGAGGTGAGTGCCCACGTGTCCTGCAAGGCGCACTTGAGGACAATGGGGAGGCACAGACTAGGGCAGCAAGGAGGTACTTTCTGGCCTCTCTGTGCCTCATTCTCTCCATCTGTGAAATGGAAATTGTAACAGGGTCCATTTTATGGGTCACTGTGAGGGGAAGAAAATTAACATGTGTAATGTCCTTACTGAGTGTCTGGCACAAACTAAGACTCAAAGCAGTGAATTCATTGGTGCATAAAGGAGCTAAGTTAATAAGGAGCTAAAGAAAATCCAGCAGAAACTCTTCATCAGAAGGGGCAGTAAATGCAGGTGCAGTTACTCAGGCCTGGAATTCCAGCACTTTGGGAGGCCGAGACAGGAGGATCACTAGAGCCTGGGAGTTTTGAGACGAGCCTGGGCAACATAGGGAGACCCTGTCTCTACCGGAAAAAAAAATTAGCCAGGTTTAGTGGTGCATTCCTGTAGTCCCAGCTACTCAGGAGGCTGAGGTAGGAGAATCACCTGAACTCAGGAGGCTGAGGTTGCAGTGAGATATGATTGAACCACTGCCTGCCAGCCTGGGTGAAAGAGCAAGATCCTGTCGCATTAAGTCTCCTGTGTGGAAAGAACAAATAAGAAAAACAAAGTAAACAAAAAAAAGAAAAAAAAGACCTTGTCTAAACACACACACACACACACACACACACACAAAAAAAAAAACAAAAACAAAAACCAAACAAGGGCATATAATGTAGGGATTAAGGACATGGACTTGGACCCATGGCTTAAATCCCAACCCTACCACTTCAGCTGTGTGGCCCTGGGCAGATGATCTCACCTCTTTGAGCCTCTGTTTCCCTATCAGTGAAATGGAGGTAATGGGGCCGGGCGCAGTGGCTCACACCTGTAATCCCAGCACTTTGGGAGGCCAAGGCGGACTGATCATTTGAGGTTAGGAGTTTGGGACCAGCCCGGCCAATATGGTGAAACCCTGTCTCTGCTAAAAATACAAAAATTAGCCGGGCATGATGGTGCACGCCTGTAGCCCCAGCTACTCAGGAGGCTGAGGCAGAAGAATTGCTTAAACCCAGGAAGCGGAGGTTGCAGTGAGCTGAAATCATACCATTGCACTCCAGCTTGGGGGTTGCAGCGAGACTCCGTCTCAAAAAAGAAAAGAAAAAAAAGAAATGGAGGTAATGATCTCCACCTCTGAGAACTCACGCTTGAGCCATTTGCAGAGTCTGGTGCTGAGGAAGCCTCTTTGAATGGCAGCTGCTGTCACTGTTACTGAGATGGTGGACTGGCATCGACCGTGTCTTACTGTATGCCAGGCACAGAGCGGGTCTACTCTTACAGGGGCCAAGCTGATACTAGGGATGAGAGGCAGTAGGTAGAGCGCCAGGAGTCCTCTGCCTACGGGATGGCCTATGGGTTCTGGGGTCACAGACCTAAGGTTGAGGCCCAGCCACTTAACTTGCTACAGGGCATTAGGCAAGTCAGTTTATCTCTCTGGGCCTTAGTGTCCACCTCTGTGACTGCCCAAGGCCGTGGGGAGGGGATGAAATGAGATCCTGCAGGCTGGGTTCGGTGGCTCACACCTGTAATCCCAACACTCTGGGAGGCTGAGGCCAGAGGATCCCTTGAGCCCAGGAATTGGAGACCATCCTGGGCAAAACAGTAAGACTCCGACCGACTCTTTTTTTTTTTTTTTTTTTAGACGGGGTCTTTCTCTTGTCACACAGGCTAGAGTGCAGTGGTGCAATCTTGACTCACTGCAACCTCTGCCTCCCAGGTTCAAGCGATTCTCCTGCCTCAGCCGCCTGAGTAGCTGGGATTACAGGCACCTGCCACCACACCTGGCTAATTTTAGGGCTTTTAGTAGAGACAGGGTTTTGCCATGTTGGCCAGGCTGGTCTCGAACTCCTGACCTCAGGTGATCCGCCCACTTTGGGCTCCCAAAGTGCTGAGATTATAGGCATGAGCCACCGCGCCTGGCCTGACTCCAACTCTTAAAAATAAAAAGAGGCTGGGCACGGTGGCTCATGCCTGTCATCCCAGCATTCTGGGAGGCCGAGGTGGGTGGATCATGAAGTCAAGAGATCGAGATCATCCTGGCCAACATGGTGAAACTCCATCTCTACTAAAAATACAAAAATTAGCTGGGCGTGGTGGCACGTGCCTGTAGTCCCAGCTACTCGGGAGGCTGAAGCAGAAGAATCGCTTGAACCTGGGAGGTGGAGGTTGCAGTGAGCTGAGATTGTGCCACTGCACTCCAGCCTGGGTGACAGAGCGAGACTCCGCCTCAAAAAAAAAAAGAGATCCTGCACATAAAATGCTGAGTCCACGGCCTGCTGAGCCAAAGGGTGGTACTTGGTGGTCATGCTGTTTTCTGCAGCCCCAGCCACAACTCTTCTTACCCACACTGCCCTGCTCAGCCCCCTAGTCCCTTGGGGCCACTGCTGTGGGGCATCTGGCCTAGACCCGCTCTCCCTCCAAGTCCTGGGCTCAATTCCACTCAGTGCTGGTCCTGATGCGCTGGAAGTGACAGCATCCTCTCAGATCCCTGCTGCAACCTCCTTCCAGTATGCCTATGTTACCCTATTTTGCAGCAGAGAAGTGGGTCCAGAGAGGGCAAGATTCTTCCTAAGACACACAGCAGATTGGATTCCTAGACAGGATCCAGGTTTGTCAGTGCCTCTTCTGGGAAGCCCTATTGTGAATCCCACAGTGGCTTCTGGGCCAGGTCCAATCTGCATCATTTACAGTAAATCCCGGGAATGCCATGTCTGCCAGTCCCATTCATTACCCACGCAGACCCCCTTCACTGGATTCCCTCTCCTGTGGGCGTTTCGCAGGTCTTTGGGTCATTGAATTTACAATAGAGCACATTCTCACACAGATTCAAGCCTGCAGGGAGGCAAATCCCACTCCCTGTCCCCCGAATCCCAGACAGCTTGAAGGTCCAGCCAGCCCCTTCCTCAGAATCCCATCCTCAACTATTCTCTTGTTCTGCTATAATTAAAGCCCCTCCCCCATAGTTCAATCCGGCTTGGAGAATATGGGTCTCCGGGCCAGATGCAGTGGCTCATGCCTGTAATCCCAGCACTTTGGGAGGCTGAGACAGGAGGATCTCTTGAGGCCAGGAGTTTGAGGCCAGCCTGGGAAATACGGTGAGACCCCTGTCTCTTAAAAAATAAAAATTAAAAATTAGCTGGGCATGGTGGCGCGTGCCTGTGTTCACAACTACTTGGGAGACTGGAGCGGAAGGGCTGCTTGAGTTTAGGAGGTCGAGGCTGCAGTGAGCCATGATCACACCGCACTCAAGCCTGGGGACAGAGTGAGAGACCCTGTCTCCCCCCACAAAAAAATAATATGGGTCTCCAATCCCAGCTCCAAATAACCCCCCATAAATTCCGGCCACAGTCTTATCTTTGGCACGCTGCTATACCCCATTTGGCTCTTCCTCCCAGGCCTGTGCTCTCCTACCCCTCCTACCCGCACCAACCCCCAGCCCCGCCCTCCCGACCTGACCACGCCCCCACGATCCTGGGCCAATCTCTCAATCACAACTCAAATTCTCTCCAGACCACTCTGACGCAGTCCATCCCCTTACAACCCCGTCTCCTCCCCTAATCCCTTTCGACTGCAGCTCTAGAGCCTCAGAGAGGCCAGCCGGCCCGCGGAGCTGTTTAACGGTTCCGCGGGTCCTAGAAAGCCAGCGGCCCGCGGGCTTGCTTAAAGGGGAGAGGCCGGAGTGGGTGTGTCCCGACGTCGCAGCGCCGAGGGGCGTGTGCCCTGAAGACCCGTTGAACAGCCGCTCCTGGCCGGGCGCGGTGGCTCACGCCTGTAATCCCAGCACTTTGGGAGGCCGAGGCGGGAGGATCGCTTGGGCCGAGGAGGAGTTCGAGACCAGCCTGGGCAATGTGGCGAGACCCCCCCCCCCGTCTCTCTATATAAATATATACATATATATGTATATAATATATGTATATGAGCCACTGTTGAGCGCAATGGTGGGCTCTGGGCGAGGTCTGGCCCTAGAGCCCCAGCACTACACCTCGCCGCCCTCTGCAGGAGCTGAGGCGGGCGGAGTTGGTGGAAATTATCGTGGAGACAGAGGCGCAGACCGGGGTCAGCGGCATCAACGTAGCTGGCGGCGGCAAAGAGGGAATCTTCGTTCGGGAGCTGCGCGAGGACTCACCGGCCGCCAGGAGCCTCAGCCTGCAGGAAGGTGGGCGAGCCCGGGATATGGGGCGGGGGTCGAACTGCGGGGACGGGGTTAGGAATCTGCCTTGGGTCCAAAGAGAAGCTGAAGCTGACCAGGGGATGGGGGCGTGACCGGCGACCAGGAGGCGGGGTTAAGGGCTTGGGGCGGGGCTTTGCTGACTTCACAGCGAACTCCAGAGGTTCACTGTCTGGGTGCGAATTCCACATCCCCCGTTTACTAGCTTGTGATCTTTCTGTGCCTCAGTTTTCTCATCTCTGAAATGGGACTTATTCTAGTATGGGGTTATTATGTATTGTAGATTAAACGAGTCAGTATGTGAAAACACTTAGCACATAGCTAAGTGGCACATAGTGCTTAACTACGTGAGTGCTAGTAAATGTTTTTGTTGTTGGGGCAGGAGAAAAGGGTGGAGTGAGTCACTTGGAGGGGTTGGGAAGAGAAGCTTTGTAAGTGAAGGATGTTTTAGGAAACATAGATGAAGCTGACGTGATTTATTCATGCAACAACTATTTATTAGTGCCTTCTATTTCAGACTTTATTTATTTATTTATTTATTTATTTATTTATTTATTTATTTATTTATTTATTTTGAGACGGAGTTTGTCTCTTGTTGCCCAGGCTGGAGTGCAATGGTGTGATCTCGGCTCACTGCAACCTCCGCCTCCCAGGTTCAAGCGATTATCCTGCCTCAGCCTCCCGAGTAGCTGGGATTACAGGCGTGGGCCACCATGCCCAGCTAATTTTTGTATTTTTAGTACAGATGGGGTTTCACCATGTTGGCCAGACTGGTCTCGAACTCCTGACCTCAAATAATCCATCTGCCTCGGTCTCCCAAAGTGCTGGGATTACAGGCGTGAGCCACTGTACCCTGCCCTATTTCAGACATTATCTTAGGTGCTTGGGCTACAGCAGTGAACAAAACAGTGAACAACAGTCCTTGCACTTATGGAGATTACATTCCAGTGAGGAGAGACATATTTAAGCAAATTAAGTAAAATATCTAGTAAATTAGAAAGCAATAAGTGCTACAGTTGCCAGGAGGACAAAATGTGCTACAGCTGCATTTTTAAATGGGGTGGGCTTGGCCAGGTGCGGTGGCTCACGCCTGTAATCCCAACACTTTGGGAGGCCAAGGTGGGCAGATCACCTGAGGTCAGGAGTTCAAGGCCAGTCTGGCCTTGAACTCTGTCTCTACTAAAAATACAAAAATTAGCTGGATGTGGTGGCAGGCGCCTATAATCCCAGTTACTCAGGAGGCTGAGGCAGGAGAATTGCTTGAGGTTGCAATAAGCCAAGTTCGTGCCACTTCACTCCAGCTTGGGTGAAAAAGCAAAACTCCGCCTAAAAAAAAAAAAAATGGGATGGACTGGAAAGGGTGAAAAGGCTAAATGAGATAAGGGAACAAGCTATGAGGCCATCTGGAAGAGGGAACAGCTAGCAAAAATGCTCCAAGGTGGGACCATGCCTAGCTTCTGGGAGAAACAGTGAGGAAGCCAGTGACTATGCAATTGAGTTAGTGAAGAGGGGAGTAAGAGAGGAACCCAGAGAGGTAAGAGGAGGGCATTTTTTAGAGGGCTTTACAGGACTTTGGCTTTTATTCTGTGAGGGCTGTGAGCAGAGGAGAAACATGAATTGACTGTGCTGAACTGCTGCATTAACAGTAGAGTATGGTCAAGCATGGGGTGGCTCACACCTGTAATCCCAGCACTTTGGGAAGCCAAGGTGGGAGGATCGCTTGAGCCCAGGAGATTGAAGCTGCAATGAGCCATGATCACACCACTGCACTCCAGCTTGGGCAGCAGAGCAAGATTCTGTTTCAAAAACAAAGCCAACAACATCAAACAGTAGGGCAGGGTTAGGAGCAGGGAGACCAACAAGGTGGCTACTGTGATTATCCAGGTAAGAGATGAGGATGCTTAGGACCAAAAGGTTTTGGAGGTATGTATGTATATGTGTATATATATACTGGATTCTGGATATATTTTGAAGGAGGAGCTTTGAGGGCTGGATATTAGGTATGATGGAAAGAAAGTTGTCAAGGTTGGATCCAGGGATTTTTGACTGAGGGTGGAGTTGCTGGTCTCTCAAAAGGAGCACACTGAGACTAGCACTCATTTGGAAAAGACCAGGAGTACAGTTTGAATCTGTTAAAGGAGAGGTGTGGTGTTGGACACCCAAGTGGAGATATGATGGAGATGTTGGATGTGAGTCTAGCGTGGAGGAGAGAGTGCTGGGCTGCAGAGATATGCTCAGCTATTGTTAGCAGATTTATGATCTTTAAACTCCTCAATCTGGATGAGCTTTCCAAGAATTCCCGAGGGGTGACTTGAGCATGTAGACAGAGAGGAGGTCCAAGTCCTGAGGTCTGGGATAGTGTGTCTTTAAGAGGCCAGAGAGGCTGGGTGTGGTGGCACGGGGCTGCAGTCGCAGGTACTCAGGAGGCTGAGGCAGGAGGATCGCTTGAGGCTGAAAGTTCAAGGCTGCAGTGATTTGTCATTGCACCAGTGTGCTACAGCCTAGGCGAAAGAGCGAGATCTTGTCTTTGAAAAAAAAAAAAGAGGCTGGGCATGGTGGCTCACGCGTGTAATCCCAGCGCTTTGGAAGGCCAAGGTGGGCAGATCCCCTGAGGTAGGGACTTTTTAGAGGGCTTTATAGGACTTTGGCTTTTATTCTGTGAGGGCTGTGAGCAGAGGAGAAACATGAATTGACTGTGCTGAACTGCTGCATTAACAGTAGAGTAGGCCGGGCGTGGTGGCTCAAGCCTGTAATCCCAGCACTTTGGGAGGCCGAGACCGGCGGATCACGAGGTCAGGAGATCGAGACCATCCTGTCTAACACGG